CCCCGACGCTTCCGTTCTCCAGCCCCGGCCCCGGCTGCCACCCCACTCACTCCTTCTCGATCTCCTCGGCCTGCGGGTGCTTGAGCCGCCGGGCCTTGTCCACGTCCAGGAAGAGGTCCTTCAGCAGCACCTCGGCCTCCTTCAGGCTGCGGCCCACCTCCTGCCGGTGCTTCAGGGCCTGGTCCTGCTCACCGTGCACTCGGTCCTGCGGGCGTGGGACCACATCCTCGCTGCCCATCATCACCCCTGCCCCGAGCCCCATTCTCGCATTCCCATCTGCCGACCTCAGTGCCCACACCAGCGGAGGGCCAGGCCCAGGGCATCTGTGGGGCAGGTGCAAAGATTTGGGGGAGCCCCTTTGACCCTCCCAAGTTGGAAGTCCAACAGAGAAGCAGAGCGGAGCCCTCTCTCCCACTGTGTTTGGGGAACGACCAGAGAAGGCCAACGGTGGTCTGTCCCACCTTCACCGCCTGCACTCCAGATGCTCCAGGGAGCCTCCCTTGCCCCCTCACCCCTGCAGCCTTACCTGCTGCAGTTTCTTCTGGGTCTCCAGGATGTCCCTCTCCACCTGGTCGGCATTGGCCTGCATGCGGGAGATGAGCAGGGCCAGCTCCTGGGTGGCAGCCCTGGGGTGGGGGTGGGGACAGAGAGCAGCCTGGTTGGAAAAGAGCCACCTGCATGGGGTCCACCTGTGTGGGGTCCCCTGTGTCCCTCGGCCCTATTCTTCTCTGCAGCCAGGCTCCCTGCCCAGAAGGGCGGCTTCCAAGACGTGGGGTCTCTGGTCTCTCTCTGCAGGAGGTTCTGGGAGATTCCCAGTCCTGAAGGTCGGAGAGCACTGTCCCCACATGAGGGTTCAGAGAATGGGGGTCTCCAGTGTGTCTGGCACAAGGGAGCAGGCCAACATCACCGTCCTGGCAGTGAGTTCCTAACCCCACCCAGCTCCCTGTCTCTCACTTGGGAGTGAATCATACCTCAGCCGCTAAGGCCCGAGACAGCATGGCTGGGCTTTGGGAGGGCCAGTGGGCTGGCTGGGGGTAGGGGAGGGGCGGCATGTCCCCCACCCCAACCTCCTCCCACCCCAGCCCTGTCTCCCCCTCACACCCTGGGCTTTGCCTATGCCCAGGCTAATAACCATCTGGAGGAGCCACACAGCACTGGGGCAGGGGGAGGCATACAGATTGTGCGGACACTTCAACATCCCCAGATTAAGGGGATTTAAGCCTAGATTAGGACCTGACTTGCTCTAGGTCGCACAGCAAGGAGCAGAGTAGAAGCCTGATCTGGCTCCCCAGAGTCCTTTGCACGGGGCACTTGCTGTGTGCCTGAGCTCACGCTCTGCGGCCTAGAGGGTCAAGCAAACCTAGTAAAAGGTAGAGTCGTCCAAGCCTCATAAGCACAGCACCCTGTGAGGTCACAGCCCTGGGGAAGGGGAAGGCTTCAGGGAGCTGGCCTTGAATTAGGGATCAAAGGATGAACCCCCACCCCTGGCTGCCCCAACAGAGGGATGGTGCCAGAAAGAACTCTGGGCAGGGGCAGCTGGGTGGCTCATTTGGCTAAGCATTCAACTCTTTCAAAAAAAAAAAAAAAATGTTAATGTTTATTTTTGAGAGAGAGAGAGTGAGTGGGGTAGGGGCAGAGAAGGAGGGAGACACAGAATCCAGAGCAGGCTCCAGGCTCCGAGCTGTCAGCACAGAGCCTGACGCGGGGCTCGAACCCACGAACCGTGAGATCATGACCCGAGCCAAAGTCGGACGCTTAACCGACTGGGCCACCCAGGCACCCCTAGTATCCAACTCTTGATTTTGGCTCAGGTCATGATCTCACAGTTCAGTTCCTGAGATTGAGCCCCGAGTTGGGCTCTGCACTGATCTCAAAGAGCCTGCTTGGGATTCTCTCTCTCTGCCTCTCCCCTGCTCACGAGTGCTCTCTCTCAAAATAAATAAACATTTTTAAAAAATGAAAGAACTGTGGACCAAACAGCCTGGGTATGATCACTTTCCAGAGCTATACTGCTGTGTGGCTTTGGGCAAGTTGCTTAAACTCTCTGTGCCCGAAGTGCCTCGTTTGTAAAGTGGGGCTTCAATACTATCTACATCACAGTGTTTCTGTGTTAGGAGGATGAATCCACCTGAAGCAGCCAGTGCACAGCCTGTGTAGTCGGCATCCAGCTAGGTCTTATCCCACTAGAATATAGGCACCACAAAGTTAAGGACCTGTTGGTTCTGTGTAAGGTGGCATCCTCAGTGCCTAGAACAGTCCTGGCACACAGTAGGTGCTCAATAAACGTGTCAAAGGACTAGACTGCACATGAGGGGAACAATGAGCCCTGTGTGGGGCGACTGCAGCCAGAGCCAACTGAGCTGTGTAGACAGAGCCGCCAGCTGCCCCAGGCTAGGAAAGCGCTGCCCAGGAGCCTGGCTGGCGACAGGGGGCTGTGGGTCCTGCCTGAGCCCCGGGTCACCTGTCTTCAGGCCTGGCCTCCTGGGAGGGCTGCTCCCATCGGGAGGAGCACACTCCACCCTGGGCAGGGCCCAGGAGCCCCGAAGGACAGGTCACTGCAGTGAGAGTCCTAACTGCTGTCTTTCCTGTCTGCCCAGAAGCCCAGCCTCAGTGTCATCACCCTGATCCCTATCAGGCTAATGAGCCTTTCATCTCCACTCCCATCTGCCACCTCCACCCTGCAGAGGGGGCTGACGGCCAGTGAGAGGGAAGAACGAGAAGGGAGCAGCCAAGTCTGTCTGCGGACCACGGGGCTGTCGAGAGGCAGGCCGGGCCGGGCAGGGAGCTGGGGCAGCAGAGGGAGGCTCTGAGGATGTCCCGGGCCTTCTGGCCCTCCCCTTTCCCTGCGGCACCCTCTCCTCACACCCCAACACTGTAACAAAACTCAAGGCCCCAGGTGAGAGCCTGGAGAGGAAAGCTACAGCTTGGACCCAGCAGCACAACAGCCCCGCCTCCCTGCGCCAGGCACCCAGCCTCCCTTCTCCGCCTCCGTCCCTCTGCCCACCCTGTACCCAGGTTCCAAGGGTCAGCCCAGCCCAAGCAGAGCCGTGAGGGCAGAGCCACGGACAGGGAGCCAGGCACTCGGGTCTCCCAGCACCCCCCGGGGCCCTCCTCATCCATCGTGTCTCCTGCAGAGCACCCCCAGCCGTGGCCCTCAGGCCCCTTGGAGAATGTGGGAGCCCCAGGCCGTCCCTGGCCTCCTGCTAGGACTGGAGCTGTCTGGGCAAGGGAGAGAGTCCACCCCCGGGGCCCTTTGGCCTCGGGACACTAAATGCCAGCACTGGGCTGGTCCTGAGCTCCGGGCGGGCTGCCATTTGCAGGTGGAAATGGGAGCACCTGGGCCGGGCACCACCCCGCTCCAGCCCGCTGCCCCGGGCCCCACTTACCGGCTGTGCTTGCTAGGGGAGCCCTTGGGAGAGCCCTTGGCCGGGGAGCCCTTAGGGGACCCCTTTCCCTGGGAGCCTTTGTTCAGACCCTTGAACATGGTTGTAAAGGCAGGTGCCGCTCAGGCTGGGCTCGGCCGGTGCAGGCGGGTGGCAGGCAGCGGGCGTGTGTCCTCGCTGGCTGCTCAGCTGGGCTCTGGCGAGGTGGGGTGGCCAGGCACCGAGAAGGCAGTTTCTGGGAGGCCCCTCCCCGCAGGTGAGGCGGCGAGCGGGCGCCGGCCGGGGCTGCCACGCATGCACCCACACTGCCCACACTCAGCTGCTCCTGCACAACCAGTTTGGGAGGAAGAGGCACAGCCCAGAGGGCGGGGCGCCCGAGCCTGCCTGACTCCCAGAGGTTTGGACTTGTTACACCCACACGCCCAGAGGGAAGCGGCAGAGATCGCATCCAGGCAGGCGGGGAAATAGCCGGGCCCAGGAGGGACAGGGTTGCGGACAGAGGCTCGCGCATGCTCAAAGACAGGGGCCCGGCCTCGCAGCTCGGGCTGGGGGTTGATAAACACCTCCAGGCAATACAGGGCACCTGGCTATCGGGCTATCGGGCACGGCCCCACCCACAGCTCTTACCCCACCGGCCGGGGGTGGCTGGCCTCTGCTCTGTGCTCTCCACCACCACGATGGGGCAGCCAGGGGGCATTCACCCCAGACAACTGGCTCAAGGTACATTTTTAAAAGCGGGCACCACCCAGTTGGCTCCCCAGAGGACACCCACAGTCCCGCTGCCCGGTCTTCCTGGCTGGCTCAGTGTCATCCTGTCTGTCCGTGGCCCTGGGGCCAGATGCAGTACGACATAACATCGCTGGGATCCTCCAAAGAGTCCGAGACCAGCTCCAGAGGGGCTGGGGCACCCCTCCCCCAAGAACCCCCAGCATTAGCCTTCAGGTGCTGTTGAGCCTAGGGTCCGGCTGAGCCCCTTGGGAAGCTACTAGACTTGGGTTTTCCTGACTACCTCTCCTCACCTGGTCCCCCAGAAGTGGTCCCTGGTGGCTTTTTCTCGAGACAGGTGGAGTGGCGGACAGCCGTACCAGTTTCGTGGCCTCTTCCTCACACTGAGTGCCAGGGAGGCCATCTCAGTGGCCGCCTTCTCCCACGGTGCCCCCTCTATTGCCAGCCACTCATTTCACTGGCCCGCCGAGAAGAACCCTTCCGCGGCTCTAGAGCCACTCCCTGGAACCATTACAGTTTCGGTGGAGGAAGGGCTGGGGCAGTAGCAAAAGGGAGGGAGGCAGTCGTGCTGGGTTTGGAGGCCTGGGACCTCCCGGCAGGCCCAGCTGAGGGCAGAAAACACCCAGAGAAGAAAGAAGGATCCCTCCGACTGGAGACGGCAGGGACAGAGCTGAGACCGGCCGTGTGCGCCGGGAGGACAGAAAAGGTTTGAGTCCCTTTGGGCAGCATCTCATGGACAAGCCACCGAACTTGGTCCTGGGGAGGGGACACAGCAGTCACCCATCCTGGAGGGGCAGGGGCTGAGGGGGGCAGCAGGGGTGGGGAGGGCACCAAGGAGCCTTGACAGAGCAAGTAGCAGTAGGGGAGCAGAGTGGTCTCCAAAGTCCTGTTCCCAGTTGAACGTGATGGTGAGCGGAGCCAAGGATGGAAGGCCAGGCCCAGAGGGCACGTGGCCCCCGCCGCCCCAGCCCTCCCTCCCTGTTATTGCAGGGTGACAATTTTCTTCTAACCACAACTAGCAATCAACCGTTCTCAGAAAAGGGCCATTGTTTAAATGACTGCAAGGTCCGGCAGCCAGCCCTGAATGCTAACTTCGCATATCCAACCAGAGAGCTCACTTCCTTATCTTGGAGATTGGACAAGGGGCGGCAGCCCCTGGGAGAGCCGAGACAGGAAGGCTGCCTTCCCGAGAGCTCCAAGTCTCTTCCTGGGAGGTGGTGGTCAATGGAGGGAGGGGGCAGGGAGAAAAGAGGTCTAGACTCCAGCCCTGGGAAGAGCTGGGACCAGGGGAGGGCCCCTTAACCGTGGACAGGGGAGAGGGAAGCAGACCCCGGCTGGAGAAGGCAGGAGGCGGAGATTTGGAACATTTGAGCTTTGTCTCCTGTCTTCAGAAGCTCTCCTGGAAATAAACGAGCGCCACAGGAGGCCTGCACACGCCCCAGCGATTAAGGCTAACTGATTCACTGCAAGAAAACCGAGAGGTGAATTCCTGGCGTGACTGTCTAATGCCGAGTCAAATCAGCACCCAGCTCCCCAGACAGGGGCTGACACGCAGGCAGGAACAGCCTGATCTCGGAGATGTTCCTAGTCAGATGGCAGTGATCCTGACCCCCAAGACTAAAAGCACAGGAGAAAGGGAAGGGACAAAGAAAGAAAAGATGTAGGGCTTTAAATATGTGAGCAAGCCAAGTGTCACTGAGAAGGCCGGGATGGGACAGAGCCTCCATGGAGACCTGTACC